GTTATTTTTAGTCGACAGTGCTTCATACTCAGCATTTGAAATTTATGTTTAGGATAAGAACTAATATGTACAAGCATGTTTGGCGGGTAACGATAGAGTGTAGGACCCGCAAGTAGATGGCAACTGCAGAAATATACTTTAAAATCCGGTGGTACTGTAAACATCACTTATTATTCACTGTTCACATAGTTTGAAATTTCCTTCCCTTCCCGACTAAATGTAAACTTACCAACAGCGCTCTATTTAAAGCCCGTTAATGTTTGAAAATGGCTTTCTGTTTATTTTTTATTTATCGCCCTCGCTTTCATTGCCAAATGACAGTGCATGACAAGACGTTCTGCAGAAATTTATCTATTTTCTCCGTTTTATTGCTCTCCGTCCTGTGTGCTGTCCCACCCGTAAAATCCCCTCTGCCACCATTCAACGTATGGCACGATCCATAGACTTGCTCAAGTTAATTGTGGGTCCACACCTATGTTTGTCGTTTGCCGAAATCACAAACATCCAATAAGCGCCGGAGTAAAAATGATAAAATTATAATGTACTCAGAACACAAAACAGACAGAAAATAATTATTAGAACACGAAATCCAGCCGCTGACCCTCCGAATACGCGTCAGGTGCTCAGTTTCCGACGTATGGTAGCCAGGTCTGTCAGATGTGGGAATAAATCACTACCTTGCTTCTTCCTTCCGCATAAGATGGGTCTACCTTCAATCTGAGTGACTGTCACACTGCTATCGCAAGGCAAGTTTCCTTAGGACTCATCTAGAAAGGCCTCTGACCTACATGACAGTGCTATGGCGCGATAAACACTGTACTAGCTCGCCACCTCGTTAAATGCAGTTGTTGCAAATGTTGTTGAGAGTCGTAAACAAATGCATCAGTCAGTGGGTGAACAAAATTAATACTCAAGAATCCAACGACCTGATCTTCAAGCACACGTTTGATACGCATCCATCCTTTAGCGTTATTTGGTTGCGTTAAAACAAACAGTACAACTAACGAAAAGTTAGAGGTCAGTTTCAGTGAGTTACCTAACCCATGAAATGTTGGCTGAAATTCTGAAATGCGTTTTCGATTAGGAAGGATTACTTGGTCGCGGTTGTAATACTGGCTATCTTGCGGCATACTCTTATAACATTTCGGACTTGGCAGGATGTCGGCTTTCAAATGCACTTCTTTTCAATCTCCTGTAGAAAGCGTACTCGGTAAAAGAATGACCGCTTAAAACTAAATGACCGCGAAAACTAAACTTAAACTACATTCGGAAAAAATGGCTACTTAAATATCATGAGTTTTTCCCATTGAATTTCCATGCCTTCATGGATTTGAACCTATTTTATAGAAAACATGCATAAAAGTATTTTTTCTTCTGCTCATTTGGTGGCAAATTACGCCTTCTTAAAATTTCATCCTGGAGGATTGAGTATCTTTCGGCATTAAAAAGCTTGCAATAATAAAATTTTTAGGACTGTAAAATGTCCATTCGTACTACTACTTATCCAATCACTACTGCTTATAAAGTGGGAAACAAGGTCCATATTCATTACAAAATTTTATGAGCCATATATGCCCGCTTCATACCAGCACGCAGAAATGTTTGATTTTTATTTCATGAAGAGCATAGAGCTTGTAGTTCGGAAACTTTGAATACAAGTGCAACGGAAGGTCACGTTCAAAATTATTCGGTAATTGACTGAGTTCTGTTAAAAGCAAAAGATGCTCTTTCTTCAAGTACCCACTTTGAAGAAAACGCATTTGCTATCAAATTAGTAGAAGAAGGAATATTTTTGCACATGTGTTCTGTAAAAAATATTTGAGTTGATAAGGGTATTGAAAACCACGTTTGAAAATGCGTGCTGCCTAAGTGAGGAGTATAGTTTATGCAAGTGGTCGATAAGAAGGTCACTCTATAGCAGGCGTCCTGATGCTAGTGGAATATTTTGGTATTTTGCGACACGACGACTAACGTTACGGCCCTACTTAACTAATCGTTTGAAATTAAAAGCACATTTCAGAATTTCGGTCAATACTTCATGGAAGGTAGCGCCGCGTATTTTAACACTGGTTTTACCTTTTCAGCAAGATCTGACATCAGTGCATTTATGAAAAGAAGGTTTATTTCTACGTTTCCTTCTAATAGCTCAAATTTCTGACACAGTCAATATGATCGGTGATCGTCACTCCCAGATGATTTTGAGTTTTTACTTTCTGCCTAGGTTTGGACGGCTTCAAAGGCACACTCCTTTGTGGACGAGCTTTAAACTGTCGTAATCTTAGTAGAAGGTGTAAAAGTCCAGTTAGTAATTCAACGTACTGAACCACTTCCCCTGGCGAATACCGTCGACAGAAGAATTTACATCACCTGGATAACTTTGCGGACCATTTGTATATATTTGCTAGTCTTGAGAGCTGTGCGCTATGAAGCACATAACATGGTTTTTGAGAATAAATGCAGCACACTAGTTCAGTCTGGGTGACTCTTTCTCTCTCTCGGAGAAAGGCAAATTGTCCAGCTGAATTGTCGGATTAATTTTGCATATCAGTGTGCAATGCAGAACGACCCTTGATCACTGTGACTCATTTCGCCATACTCATCCGCGCCAAAACGATCACACGTACACGCACGCTCATGACATAGTCACCTAAGCATGTCATATTGGCTGTCCCGATTGGTTGAGAGCTCTCCGATATATGCGCCTTAGTGTTTCCAATGATGATTCATTTTAACTTATTCAAACATGTGCATGCAGTTGGTGAGCTGGACACCGATAACTCGTGCCGAAATTGTTTTCCGGTTGTTATTACTAGAAGGACTCGGCACTGGAAGCAGTTATTTGAAGGCATCCACTCATTAAACGACCACTGAATTTATAGACTGAGAGACAAAACCGACTTCTTTATGGGGCTAGGATTTCCCCCGAAAATTTCATATCCAAAGGAGAAGCTCCGAGATATTCATACTGTTGGTCAGTTGCTCCATTAGAAGAAGGGTAAAGGGGACGTCCGGAGCCGCGTGTCTATTTTACTTGCGTTTTAGAAACAAACAAACTCTCCTCGTTTGAGAATGCAGTTAAATCGCGCTCCGCCTTACCCACGAAGGGTTTCGACCAAACGCAGAATCTGTTAATTCTTTCTAAGTGCAACTGCACTTTCCTGAAAGGACTTCGGGCTGAAGGGTGCCGCCTTAGTTTATAACCTAACATTTTAATTATATAACATTGAGTGTAATGTGTATTCCACCTCTTCCCCAAGTTCAGTTGCAAGTACATAGTTTTCGTCCAGCCACAAAGGGCTTACACCTGACTGTAAAGTTTTTTTTTTCAGAATTATCGATTAGTGTCTGCGGATTAATATTATAAACTCTCACGGAGGTGAGGAGCGGGTGATTTATTCTGCACTTGGAACCTCCAATCATTAATTTTCAGCTAACAGGGAATTCTTGCAAAAAGAGAGAATCCCGGGCCTGGGCCCAGCGGAATATTTCCACCAACGAATCACTAGCACTAAGAAGGAAATCAAATGGCCGGTTTTTAAATTTGACAGATATGTATTTTAAAAGGCTTCGTGATCACTTTTTTAAATTTTTTTTTCAAAAACCCGCAATATATTCCTCCTTCGAATGTGTATTTTACTGAAACGGAAGAGATCTCCGTGTTTGCATAAATAACATGCTCATGAAATTTTATCCGCATAAAGGTGAGTGGGGGGGGGGGCTGCGAGTATCACTCCCGACATACAGTATTCGTCAACCATACCCAAACCACAGGCCAAACAGACCTGAGATTTGAACGCCGGCCAGATTGGGCATCAAAGTAAACTCGCCATGATTCGCGTCCGCTTGGCTGAAATTCAGAATATTCAGGTTCACATGGAAGTGACATTCACAGACCTGGCCTGGTTCCAGTGGATTATATGGTTCCTCTTTTGCTACAGACTACCGGCCTGGTGTCGGCAGAGGCTGTTGCACAGCGACGAGCAATGAATGGTCGACAAGCACTGCTGGCGAGAAGATGAGATGAAATGTCTTCGTCCAGTATAGATGCCTAAATCGGTCACATAAATCACCTTACTACATGACCAAAAGGAAGACCCGGACTCTCTCATGGAAGCAGATCAGATCAGTTTTCCCACACCCTCCCGTCTCCTTTCCGATCCATTGGACCCTTACCAAAGAATTTCGTTGAAAAGGTCACAAATATGTTCATTTTCGGTCGCGGAAAGGTATCCTTTCTTCAAGCTGTGCTAGCATTAACTTGCAGGAACACATAAGCAATTTTTAGATCGACTTCTAACGCGCCGGACCAGCATTTAAGGAAACAAGAAGGGTTTATTTTCATCTAGACATGCTGAAAAAAACAGAACTTGGCATCATTGCTTAAACATATTCCATGCCGAATTTAATCTTTATTTTCAGAAATTTATTTCAAAGCCTACCGAGAGCAACGAATTTATTTCGAAATGCATGAATAGTAAGCAAGGAAACTGGATCAAGAGTTTTTCGTCTTCATTTGCCATCTGGGGAGGAGCGCACGGCTTATCCGCGAAACCAGCCACTCAAGAGTAGTTCTTGTTAGAAGAATGGCAGACTGCACATGCACATTTCTTGGCTTGGGTGTCTGGCCTTTGACGGTGAAGAATTCGCGTAAGAAGCGACGCGAGCTCTTCGTGACGATCAACAGTTGACGATTGGGAAAGTTCCGTAATCCTGCCACTGAACCGAAATACTGACCTGTTAAAATCAACTGTGAAAGATCTTCATGGCCTTTTGTCACTGCGAAGGATGCGGCCACAGATTTTACCACTTGACACAGCAGCAAACCAAGTGCTGCAGAGGATTCCCACGACCATCGAACTGTCGGGTAGGCGGATAGACGAAAGGTGGCGCAATAGTCAGCTTCGGAGAGTCCGTTTGGGGTAGGGATGCAGATTCACGCGTACGCTTACGGGCCACATTGAGTGGTCTTGTCGACTTCTCCCGTAAGTGAGTTCTTCAGAATGACTCCTGTGCTTCAAACGTACATTCCGCGCGCTAATCGGCCTCGTAGGACACCTTCGGAAACAATGAACCAACAACACGGCAAAGCCAAATTCTTCTCCCACGAACGCCCCTACTATCACCCCTGTTGCAAACCCCGCGACGACGACCACCCCGTCATTGGTGGTCAGACTGCCGATGCCCCGCCGCCATCGATCTCCGCCCTGCTTCAAGCCATGCGTCGACCACAGCGACCAGCTCCGTCAACACCACGGCCTCTCGCACGCCCCTCGTCGACGGGACCACATCCAACATCCTGTCATCTACTTCCATCAGCATCAACACTCCGCACCTCCAGTGATGTGGACTCGGTTCCAGCCTGTCCTCATCGAGACCGCACATTCAATTCATACATCGGCCTGGTCGATCACTTGTGAATCCATCGCACAGAGGCTGGCCAAATAGTGTCTGGAGCACCCGCATACAGTCGCCGCGTCCGTCTTCATTGTCCACACTGCCCACGCAGATTCACTCACCGCATGGGCCTACTCGGTCATATACGTACCCACGACAGCCGAACTCACCGCAGTATCGACGCATCTAGCACATCCGCCATGCCTAGCCCAATCAACACCTCATTGCCCACCGCGCCCATCACCATCACCACCA